GCACCCTATTTTTCCCATGTGGTCTCCCATCCATCTCTCGTACAGACCAGGCTCAGCCCTGCTAAGCTTCAGTAAGTAAAGACAGCGGTCACATCAAGAATGAAGTTACATGCATATAAGAGCCGAGTAATAAGACACTTTGCTTAAACGTACATTAAATAATAACAATACACAGCAGTCTACATGTATTTGTTACTTCACATTACAAAATTACAATAATTACAAACATACCTGGCAATTTTCCTAATAAAAATAATAAACTAACAAAACATACAACTAAACATATAGAGGAATTACCAACCTATTTCACACATGACGTCACACGGGTTCAAGCGCGCATCCCAGTTGCAAAAAAAGACCGGTTGCAATAGCAAACATGTCGTGTTGTGCAGTAGTATGCCAAATCGATTAAAAAATAATCCAAAAATAGAAAACTTAAATTTTACCACAAACCGCACTGCTTTAAATGAAGTCTTTGGCTAACAGCCATCAGAAGAGCTGAATGGAGTGAATGATCGACTCTGCAGTTCTCATTTTATTTCAGGTAAGTTCACGCTAAGCTGAACCATACACATAACTGTATTTGATTGCAGCAAAAACTGTTAAATTTAGTTAATTAAACTGCGGACACTGATTTTTACATTTCTTTCTAAGCATTTAAAGTTCACATACTCTGTCATACAGGTGCAGTTCGCTGTCAGAATGCAGTTGTTTTGCTTGTTGATGATTACCCAGGCCTTATATGGCTCTGTCTACTTTGTCTTTGGCTAGGCAGAACCTTGGTTTTTAGCACTACAAAATTTGAATCTGGTAATCATAGACCATTATTTCTTGCACATGACTACAGAGCAAAATTGTAGGCATCTAAAGACTTATAGGCCTTTAACTTTTCTCTTGTAAAAACATTTGGAGTTTCAATGAGATTGTTGTATTTTTCGGGCTGGATGCTTGGCCTTCATCTTATCCAGTATCTATTAGAAGAGTGCTATAGCAAATGGAGATGTCAGACGAATGCCGAACAACTGTGCTTATCACTAAGTGACGAGCTGTTATAAGTACGGTGAAAGCATTATGTAAATATTATATATAATATGTAATTAATATAACATTTCTAATACACAACAAACTCTGTACCGCACCGGATGACATTCCCACACTGTAAATGCTAGCGCTCTGTTGTTGTTTTTTTCTGCAACCTCTATGCATGCGCATCCTGAATGTTTACAAACAGTAATTCGCCTATACCTAATGTCTATTATTGGTAGTGTTGAATAATTTTATCTGTACAGTATATCCAACGCAATCTCATGGCAATTCGCAACTCTTAGAAATTAGTGGCTAATTCGTATGAATTCGTAAGATCTAATTTGTACAATTTAATTCGATTTCCTCATCCACCAATAATGGATGGGTTTGGGGGCGGGGTTTGGTGCCACGCCTTCTTTTTAAAATTTTACATTTTAGTAAAACTGAACTGAATTAGCCACAAATGAGGTAAAATACTTCGATTTTCTTGTGAGATCAGGTTGGCATATCCAACGCAATCTCACGAAAATTCGTAACGTTTTGATTTAGTGGCTAATTCAGACGAATTTGTGCGATCTAATTTGTACAATTTAGTTCGATTTGCTCATCCTACAATGATGGTTGGGTTTAGGGGTGAAGTTGGGTGTCACGAGTCCTTTTTAAAATTTAAAATTTTCAAACAACTGAACTGAATTAGTCACTAAACTGACAAAACGCAAAATACTTGACGTTTTCTCATAAGATCAGGCTCGTATATCATGCATTTTGGCTATGATATACGAGCCAACACATAGAAAACAAACATCTGCGGCTTGAGAATAAGAATAAGTTTAAAATAAACTTTGATAAACTATTATAATTATATAATCTTAAAACGTAGCTAGGGGTGTGCATATTAATGATCCCGTGTGCAACATTTCAGTCTGTGCTTTGTCAGGTTCAGATGACTTAGAACCTAAAGTACATGCAGATCTTGAGGTTGGACTGTTTTTCAAAGAGTTTTTACACTCACGATATTTACACGAGAACAAGAAAACAATGGTGTCTGAGGCTTATGGTATGGCCATTTCCATGTACTGAACACTTATTATTCAACTTTGCCAATGTATAACCAGATATTCTTTACAGTGCACCTTTAAAAGATGATCTATGTCTAATTTGAAAATCTTATCTAATCTAATCCTGCATGTGCAAACTAGCTATTTGGTAAAACTGGTAAAACAATGTCAGTAAACCAAATTATCAGAACGATCAAGAACATGCATTTACTGCAATTGTTAAAAGTTGCAGTTGGTCTTCTAGGTCAGTATATTCACTCTTTTCTATAGGAAACCAATGCCGATGACCCAGTTTGTATGAATTGCCCCGAGTGAGGATTTGAATGCATTTCCTTTCCAAGTGGATCAAGACCTCTAAGAAGAAGATTCAATCGTGTTCTGTGTACATCCCAATATAAAGAGATACCCAAACACCTGCATTTCCATATGCACAACACATGGTTGGTCTCATCGTCACATTCAAACAACCACAACACCACTAACTTCCTGACAAATGACTTCAAAGGAACCAAACACACACAAATACATTCACATTGTCAAAAAAAAAAAAACCTCAAGTGTTTTACACAATGGCTCTTTCGAAAATGTCCCGAGGAAGTATATTGTGTCATTCATTGGGGCTTTAAAACAGACATCTGATTGTTACTACGGAGTCTGCAGGCCATATGTGTCCATTATGCAAATTCACATTAGCATATTGTACACAGACGTGATAGACCAGCTCTGACCTCATAGAGCAAAAAGGACCTAATGTGTGAATATATATGCAAATATTAAAGGAGTGAATCCCCCACAATAATTAATTATTCTTACAAATGATACGATTAAGACCTGGCAGCTGTATTGTACACACACACAGTGCTGACGTATTTAGTTTTGGGTCTTGTGTGTAAGGAAAAAGTGCATATAAGAAGAGAGACTATTTCCAGATTCATCTCTGACTTTAATCAATACTAAAAAGGAACTTATAAAACGCTGAGCTCCCACGATGCACTTATTGGATTAGATTACTTGGATTAGCAACACAAAAGTCATTTTTCTTTGCCAAATGTAATGTATTTCCTTATGAAAAGAAATGGAGAGATGCTATGAACTGATGAAATATGGTAACACTTTATTGTGATGGTCCATTTGAGTATTAGTAGACTGTCTGCTTAATATTTGCTGATACTGCTCCTACAACAGACTGACAAGAAGAAACTGTAAAAGTACATGTCAACTAACCCTAAGCCCAGCCTAACAGTCTACTTATAATCTAATGTTCTAACAAACAGACCATCAAAATAAAGTGTGACCTAAAATACTTACAGCACAGTAAACTATATCCATTAAACAGCTAATTAACTACTGTATGTCCATTAAACCATAAACTAAGCTACTGTACAGTTGAAGTTGACATTAATAGCCCTCCTTTCAAATGTAAATTCTTCTTCAAATATTTTCCCAAGTGCTGTTTAACGTAGATAACTTTTTAAACACATTTTAAAACACAGTTACAATAGTTTAAACTATTAATATAACTAATTTCTTTTGTCTTTGCCATGATGGCAATACATAATGTTTTAATACTGAGTGGATCACAGACCTTAGTTTGAGAAACGCTGATTCATACAGCTGAAATGTGTCTATTTTCCTTCAAAAACACCTTAATATGCAGTGGTGGTTTTAGGTTTTGTTGTATTTGTTTTCCCTTAATAATAAAAACCTTAATTTCAAAAATTGCATGTGTTTAATACACTTAAATTTGCTTAATGATCTGAAACATAAAGTGTGACAAACATAAAAAAAAACACTTTATCACACCACTGTATATAGACTAGTATTTATTTAATGAGAAGTAAAATTGATATTGTGTTTTTATGCAGGATAAATGGTGCTTTCCTTACTCTTACATTCTGTAAAACAACCAAAGACTGCTGTGAAAGCAAATCCTTGCAGATCGCTGGAGAACTACAATCTGCCACTTTATGAACTACATATCCCGTCATGCAAATCACACACACACACACCTGTTTCGGTTATCTAATGATTACACACACAGCTGGAAGCTGATCAAGGACTCATTACACAGACTATACAGACTGCTCACATTCCCTCACTCATTGCTGAGTCTTGTTAACCTGTAAATATTCCAAAGCATTTACCTTGCCTTGTTTTTCAGTGCCATATTTCCAGATCCTCGTTTTGTTCTTTGGTCATTGATTCTTTGCTGCCTGTACAGACCATTTCTTGACTTTGCCTTTTGGACTAACTGTATGTACCCATTTGCTCCTGTGTTTGCCCAATGCTTGACTGACTACTCTTGTAAATAAAGATGCTGCAATTGGATCATTAATCCCATTGCCAGAATCGTATGTTACAGGTTCTCAGCACATTTGTCTTGCTTTACAGTACAAACATTCTACAATCAATATACATTTGCATGAGTTCATTCATTCATTCTTTTTCCTTCGACATTTTCCAGCTGCAACCCATCACTGGGAAACACCCATACACTACGGCCAATTTAGTTAATTCAATTTACCTATAGCCCATGTCTTTGGACTGTGGGGGAAACCGGATTACCCAGAGGAAACCCAAGCCAACACAGGGAGAACATGCAAACTCCACACAGAAATGCCAACTGGGACTCAAACCAGCGACCTTTTTGCTGTGAGGTGACAGTGCTAACCACTGAGCCACCATGCTGCCCCCATTTGCATGAGATGTAATATGCATAGCATAATAAACAGCAAATATCAAGTATTTTTAAATAACTTATCATTTTACTCTATTGACGCCTGTCTGTTTAAAGACGTGTTTAAGGAATATATACATATTTGTACTATATGTTAATAAAAGTAAGAAAATCTTCTCTTTTAGTAATTTTTTGTCAGTTTTGGCAAGTGAAATAGAAAACAAACTAAAATAACTTACTGGCAGATTCCTTGAAGCCTGTGGCTTTATGGACAATCACATGCAGGAAGCCGTACAGACCAGGAGATTCCTCATCTGGAAGAGACAAAAAATAAAATAAAATACTGAGTAAGTGTGTCTGTGTGCGTACAGTATATACTTGTTTATGTGGTTTATGAGGACAAAAAACATTGTTTAATGACATGAGTATGACCTAGCTGTACTCTATCAAAGTGTTTTACAGTACTCAAAAAATATTTAGGCCTAACAAATACAATTTATGTATTCTAAATTCAATTAAATTTCCATCCACGAGGATTACATATCCTAACATAATTAAACTAATAAACTTTATGTGGTTGATATTTGTATAACATATTAAGTAAATCAATAGAATAGTAAGTAAATCAATCGCATAGAATTAAACTAATTGGATCTGGCTTTTTCTACACTGTAAAAAGTACTTATATTTTATACTTATATTTTTAAGCTGAATCAAATTAACCTTATAAGTCATTTGAACTTATTTTATATTACATCACTTATTAAATTAGGTGGAACATCGTTGACTTAGAACATGACGTAATAAGTTACAATTAACTAAAAACATGACTTGTTTTTAGTTAAACATGACTTATTGTCATGACTTATTGATCATATATTTTTAGAGTGTACAGCTAAATATATTTATACCATATTCATATCTTTTAACTGATTAAATCTAGTGACATTCTTAAGATTTTAACAGATTTAGATTGATTCTAAGGAATCTGACAACATACATTAAAAAAAAACAGACAAATAAAATAACATTAAAAGGTTAATTCATAACAATTAAAAATCATACTTTACAGGGTCTTTTCATGTTCAAAATAGCTAAAGGCCATTTAATACATTTTTTTACAGTCTAAAATACATTACATCTATGGAGAGTCCTCTACTACCTCTATAAACTACAATGTGTGTGTTTGTGTGTGAGAGAGAGAAAGTGAGAGAGACAGAAAGAGAGAGAGGCACAATACAGCAGCACAATACATTGATGCCTGCCACAAAAAGATCAGTGATTAACACACACACTCACATGCTTAAGTTATACACCAAAACAAATATTGAAATTTTTTAATTTAATCCAAAAATGTTGACTATAAAATAATGTTTTTATTATGTATTATTATTGTTTTACACACACACACACACACACACACACACACACACACACACACACACACACACACACACACACACACACACACACACACACACACACACACACACACACACACACA